GATTATGCACTGGGTGTGTGTCTGCCTGGCCATGGATGAGCAGCCCTTGCAGCTCATTTCCTGTGAGCAGTGAGGTTCAGAGCTCAATCAATGAATTAACCAAAACTGCTCCACCCTGCAGAGCAGAATCCCTTGGCTCAAATGCTCCAGGTGCCCAAAGATTGTGGGTTTCTCCCTCTGTTCCCTGCAAGCTGAGCCCCATTTATTGCACTCCATTAAGCCCTTGGTGTTTGTGGTCACAGAAGAGGATTTGCCCCACTGCTGTAATTGAAGAAGCAGGAATGGCAGAAATACCATGAATGGTGCAGTTGTGCAAGGACAGACTGACTGTGGTGGACAGAGGGACACAGTGCCAGCCATGCCTTGCTCTCAGCACACCATGTGTGCTTCCCCTACAAGCTTTCAGTAGTAAAATTACCCTTAACTGTATTCTTAATGTCTGGGGTTATGATCCTAGAATAAGAATTTCCTGGGCAAAGAAAGGTAGGTTTCAGCAGCAGGAAGTAAATTTGGGATATTGAGAGTATAGAAAATTTTACCATATTTCTTAGAGGTTTGAAAAACAGCTTAAATCTTCTCAGAGATTAAAACCTGTTTTTCTAAGTTAGAACACTTTATTTTGCTGCAAATCAATTGGAATTAACAAAAACAATGGACTCCTATGGATGAAAAAACATCTGAACATGTGTGTGCATCAGGTTTCAGTTTAAACTCCATGAGACTGCAGGGGCTGTAATTCTGTCCTTTCCTTTTCTGAATATTCAGATCACAGCATTCTCAGGCCCAGTTTAAGATTTTTCTCTCTATATGCAAAGCCAGGATGAGGTATTCAGTAATTCAGTACCAATGAAGCAATTAAAAAATATATAATTATTTAACATAGCTGTTGAAACAAGTATACTAATGATTGTGTTTATCATCACACAATGTCTAAAAGTCTTTGTGATTTTTCCATTTAATTTTTTGATTATTTCCTGAGTATCATCTCCCCACAATGTCTAAGTCATTGGGATTTTTCCATTTAAGTTTTTGATTGTTTGCTGAGTATCTCCCCACACTGAGCGCTTCTCTTCAGGAGACCCAGAGGAGAGAACTGGGGTCCCTGTGGGGACCTCCAATATTCCACTCCCCTGTTCCCATCTTTGGATAAGCAGCAGCATCCTGCACACATTTGATGCATTAATGGCCTTATCTGCTGAAAATAATTTTATTCTTAAAAGTTTGTCTAAGTCTTTGTTATTTTTCCATTTAATTCTTTGATTGTTTGCTGAGTATCTCCCTACAATGTCTTTGTGATTTTTCCATTTAATTCTTTGATTGTTTGCTATCTCCCTACAATGTCTTTGTGATTTTTCCATTTAATTTTTTTGATTCTTTGCTGAGTATCTCCCCACACTGAGCCCTTCTCTTTAGCAGACCCAGAGGAGAGAACTGGGATCCCTATGGGGACCCCCAATATTCCACTCCCCTGTTCCCATCCTTGGATGAGCAGCAGCATCCTGCACACATTTGATGTATTAATGGCCTTATTTGCTGACAATTGTTTTGTTCCTGAATTTAAACTGCTCAGATACCTCTCCAGAGGACGTGCCTGTAGCAGGAGGGCTTTGTCCTGAGTTGGAAGTGAACAAGGTTTAGCCCCACGGGTTTGCACTTGAGGCCTTCACCAGCTTAACTCGCTGAGACTCAGGAGAACAGAAAAAACAATAATATTAAAAACCCCAGATGGAATGTAAGAAGGAGGCTGGAAAGGATCCATGGAGCTGTTTCAAGGGTCCCAGAGCCCCGGGAGGAGCAGCCTGGCTCTGCAGGACTCAGCTGTGCTGTGTTCTCTTGCAGGGCGTGGGGCTGTGCGGGGGCAGCCAGGCGGGGCTGGGCACGGGCTCGCCCCGGCAGTACCCCCGGCAGAAAATCACTCGAGTCAACCTCAGGGACTTCATCTTCTACATGGAACAGGAGCGGGACATGAGCCATTCGCTCCTGCTCTACCGAGCTCTGCTTAAATAAAGCCAACAGTCCTACTGAGTGCTCCACAGAAGCTCAACTTGCTTTGAAAGCTGTCATTTTAATGTGCCTTCTATTTTTTTCAGAAGTCAACGTTCCAGTAATTTTGTTTTGTAAAATTGTCAGACACATGCAATAAATTCCCTTTATGTAAAAATATATATATATATATGTGTATATATATATATATATATATAAAAACCACAAAAAATGTGCAAAAGGTTTTAAAATGTTAACTCCACAAAAAAAATCAACATCAAAGTCTTGCTCCATTTTAGGTAAGGCTGAAGTAGCTGGTGTTGAAGTTACACAAATGCAATGGCTCACCTAAACCATCTCCTGGCCAGGCTTGGGACAGGCTCACAGGAGTGGGTCCCAGCCTTGTGTTCACCTGAGTGTTCACTCCTGGTGCTGGGCTTGTTTTGGGTTCAGTTTACTAGCACTGTCTCACTAACCATGGTGATACCTGTTGCTATTTAACTTTGTTGGAATGGCAATTTTTTGCACAGCCAAGAGACTAGCCAGTGCACACTCCCACAAATTTTATATATTTAGGATTTTTGCTTTTACTGCACAGCTCATTTCCTGAGCCATTTGCTGAACCAAATCTTAAGTGTATGAAATCTGTGTGCAGGCTCTCAGCTGAGTTACTTTGACTTGCTTCCAGTTGTTTTCTCAATCTCATCAACCTTTTGCGCATTTGTAGCAGCTGGTTAGTGACGAGATTCAAAGTTGGGTTTTATTTTCTAAAAAAATGTTAATTTATTTATTGCAAATAGTATGGTTTAATGGTGGTTTTAAAAGAGAATATTGTTGGGTAAAGATTTTAGAGTATTCTATATGGATTTTTAAAGTCGCTGTAAAGGTTTTTGGGGCCGCTCCTGGCGCGGGGAGCGCGGCGAGCCCGGTGGCGCCTGGAGTGGGGACACCTCTGCCCTGGCCACTGGAGCACAGCTCCAGCCAGAGAGGCTCCTGACAGGCACGTGGCTTTGAGCATGAGGAGCAGCTGTAAGTACCTAAAGGTGGGGTGAATGCCTTGGAAATGCTTTGCTGAAGCAGATTTGGGCCCACAGGGAAGGGGTTGGTGTGGGTCTGAGCAATGGGGATCAGTGGGACAGGAAGAGCAGGGGCACAGGCTGTGCTGCAGAGTTGATAACAGTGTTACAGTACCACAGAAGGGAGACATTTGCTTATTTATCTTCTCTGTTTTTACTATGTTATGCTTGCCACTTTTTTGAGGCAATATTTTTTTTGATGGGAAACCATAGCGAAAGCACAAATAGAACTATTTGTCCAATAGTTTTAAAAACAAAGGTTTTAATTATTTTTTAAGGTTTATGAAAAGCAGAAGAAAATTTATACTGCTGCTATTTAGCCAAAAGATTATTCATAAGGTATTTAAGGCCAGGAAGTGTAAAGTTATGTTTTAAATGTATTGATAATTTGTACATATTGTTTATAAAGGCCTTGTGTTTATTAGAGTTACGTTATTTTGATGATTTCTGTACATACTGGTAAATACCCCCAATTTGTGTGAAAACATACTCCCTTATTTGTACTTATTTTGTAAAGAAATAAAACAATTTACTAAAGTAACACATCGAGTGACATACAGTATTAATTTATCAAACATGAATTTCACATTGTCTTGTAGTTCTTAAGCACTGGTCAGAAACATTTTGCATTAAAATATTAACAGAATACCCACAAACAAATATTAAAACCAAATACTTCAATGTTTTGTTGTGCTGATTCTTACCCTTTGTGAAACATCTAATAAAATTGTCAACAAACCTCGGTGCCATCAGTACAGAGAATGGATGCACTCAGCAGTGGCTGTCTCGAGAGAGGAGCCCAGCAAGCACAACAGAACATTCTCTCTCCCTTTCTGTCTCCACTGGGGCTGGGACAGCCTGGACACAAAGTGCTCAAAGCCTCGTGCCTGACACGGGGCCAGTGCTCAGCAACAGCAAATCAGAAGAGTTTTGCTCCATGGGATCAGGTGAAAAACCAGGCTGTGCTTTGTGCTTTGCTTCTTGGCCTTCGCCACGCAAACGTGTGCTGGCTGCACACCACAGCTTCACCAGGGTTCTGTGGTGCCTTAAAACATCCTGGTGATGCTGAGCAATGTTCTTCATTAAGTTATGTTGCTGTGGTTTAAGGCCAGAAGTAGATATTCAAATCAGTTTTTTGCTGATATTGATGCTTAAAAATATAGGGAAATAAGTAAAAAATATATAAATGAAACTGTAATAATCTTTAAATAAGTGACCTGAAGTTACTAACTAAAAGAACACGTCCTAGCTTAACTTTTTTTTTTTTTTAAAGGCATATTTCTTCTAAGAAAGTGATTGTTTCCACATGTCTTCCTAGCCTTTGTGCTGTTTTGCAGTCAATGCTGTGATGTCATGGTTTAAACTTTCCATCTCAAGTTCACATTTAACTCGGCTGGTGCAGCCTGGAACCCTTTCCAATGCCACCTCAGCAAAGCTGCCCCAACTATGGGAGCTGCTTTATTGAGCCATAAAACAATACAGTAAACACCAAACTGAGGAAAAACCAACCAACCAACCAAGCAACCAACCAACCACAAATACTTCCAACGTTCCGCAGATGTGTAAAAGCACCATCCCAGTCTGCCCTCCCCAGAGCTGCCTGGGGAGAGCACCAGGGGCAGGATTCCCCTGGGATGGAAATCACCTTTATTCCCTGGCTGAGAGGTAAGAACTGGACAGGGTGTGCTGCCAGGAGTGCTCAGCTCACCCTGTGCCAGAGGGCAGGGCAGGAGTGGATACAGGATAAAAACAAGAACCTGAATGGACTATTGAGAGATACTTTGGACTTAAAGGTATGAAAGTAATAAATAAAACACTTCTATCTTTTTGTAAGACATGGCTACATCAAGCTGAATGGAGCAAAGGGCTGGAGAAGACGCAATCAAAAATTCTCACCTCTTTCAAACAACATGGGAGATACAGTGAGTGTTCCACCCTACGTGCTTGTTTTTGTTCATTTACTTTACAGAAATGTTTATGGCATGAAGTACTGTATAAGAAATGTGCATACACAAATACATGACAATTATACGTTAAGTTCTTTACAATATTAAATGTATAATATACAATTCTACAGATATCTTACATACAAAGGTGAATGTTGTGCCATATATTCAAATATGGCAATGCCTAGCAACTTTAGAATGTCGTACAAGTATAAAACCACAAAATAAAATAACTTTACAACTCTTAAAGTAGACAGATTTGCTCAACTGTTCTGCTAAGGTAGCAGGCCAACCGGCCAGGATTGCCATTAGAGTTTCTGGGTTGGGTGACCAAGGTGAGAAAACCTGCAGAGGTCTGATTTTCCATGGACAGGTATCCAGCCCTTTTCCAAAAATAAGACCCCTGCCTAGATTTTACCTTGGACAGTCAGTACAGCTCATTGCTTTTGAAAATCCTAGTCTTAAACGTGACTTTGAAATTTTGCCTGATTGCAATCAATTTGCATTAAGAACTGTTGACCACTTAATACTCTGTCCCTTGTTCCATATGGCCATATTTATGCATCTAAAAAGACTTTATTGAAAATTCCTCATCTACAACAGTGTTCTATAAATTATTGTGGGAGAAACTAAATTGTGATTAACACATGAATTAGTGATTGAGGACCCAATCATGCTGAACAGCAATAAAGAGGATTTAGCAGAATGCTATTTATAGCCTTGCACCTGCAAACACGGTGCTGTCTCCTGAGTTAGAAAGCCCTGTGAGTCAGTGCCAAGTCCTGGCAGAAGCAGGACCCTCCTGCAGACAGACCCCTGACTTTGTTACAGAGAAAGCTACACAGATAGAGGGCAGCTACAGAATTCAAATTTTAATAATAATTTAAAATAATAAAACAATTTAAACCGACGGCGTCCTGCTTTCATCTGGCAGTGGCAATACAGGGTTTTAACAACTCTTTGCAAGAATTCCAGACCCATAAAGAGTGGGCTTGTCCCAAAATTCTTAAACTTTCCTGCTAAATGTGGGCTTCTAACATGGTTAGTAAATGATTAACAAGGGGTGGCTTGTTTGGTAGAACCACACTTCTTTGATGATGCAAAACTTAACAGCTGCTGTGTCAAAACAAGATTGGCTTTAAAGAGCTACAGCTCCTCGTGGGGTATGTGACCCTCGTGTGATGGTGGATGACATTTTGTTTTGTGCTTCCAGATCCCTACTGTTGCAAATATTGCCATAAGTGGGCCTGTCTAATTTCTTGTCACTTGTTTTGTTTGGTTTGTGGGGGGTTGAGTACTGAGCACCAGTGACTACGAATCAGTCCTTTTCTGCTTCTGGATCCTGTTCACAGAGAGAGACCTCAGCTGGAAATGTAGTATAAAAATAAGCCATTTGCTCATGTGGGTGAGTACAATCACCAGGAGACTGTGATGCTGGCTGTCTGATATGGAGGAGGGGCAGCAGTCAGGGAAGGTTCTCAGTGCAGTTTTTGGGGTTCTTCCTCCCGCGGACGCCCCCGTCCCCGCAGTGCAGCTCTGGCTGTCCCTGGGCTCCTGCTGGTCCCTTCCACTGCTTCCATGGCTCTTGCTGCAGAAGTCCAGGCCAGGGCCAGGGTTTCCAAAGCTTTGCCTGTTCCCCAGCACTGCTGGTCAGCCCCAAGTCCATCCCAGCGCTGCCGTGCTGGGTGTGCTCAGGAGCTCCACCGTGAAGGACAGGCAATGGTGTTCCACGCGCGTTCCATGGCTGGCTGTGTGACAGGTAGTTTCAGAGTACCACTAATGGGCAACAGAAAGTCAAAATCTGTTTGCTAATACTGTTTTGCAAATCCTTAGTGTTTCACATAAGGGACTATTAAACACTTCTACGGTTACAAAGGGGGCAGGGAGGGTCTAGTCCAGGGGCTCCTGTTTTATTCTGATCGTTGGGGTGGGTTGTGGTCGTCTGTCCTCGCGGCACAGCACGTACTCGCTGAACTGGGAGGAATCCACCCCACCACCACAGGAAGCTGCCACGTTAAATCCCTTCTGAAATAACCTCTCGAGCACCTGCAATATGGAGGGAAAACAATCAGATTAATGTTTAGGAAATTTTAGTGATAAAAGCATCTGGAAGCACCCGATCTAAATGATGGATTTAGTCTTTCGAGTCCTCCTTGAATGAATATTATTCAGCTATAATTCTATAACTTATTGTTAAATGACTATACTGTGATTAAAGTCTCGCTCTCAGCAAACCTCTCTAGAAAACAAAAATTAATCAAAGAAATAAGCACTCTGCAGCAGCTTAGTACATTATATAGTAAAATACTGGACTGTGGTGATATTGATGCTCTCACTCCTTTATAGAAAGCAACATCAGGTTTAAGTTCTAATAAAAAGTGCCAATTAATCATTGGCATAGTAGTATGAACAGTCTGAGAGAGAGGGGGGCTGAGAAGTTCTTCCTTGGCAGATGAAAATGTATTAGGAGTTCAAGTGACACATCCACCAGCTCTTTGTGGCAGTCACAGCTGTTTGCCCTCGCTGGAAGGGAGCAAAGCATGGCAGGGACAGGATGTGGGCAACAGGGAAATGTTCTGGCCCAAGAAAGAGGTTAATCTGTACTGCCCAAATAGGCATTTTGTCCTTCTCCTCCTGAAGAAAAGTTGGTGCAATTTAGATGCACGAATTTAAGGAACCCAGAGGCAACTTTAATTTCTGTGACTGTCACACAGCACATTTCCCCAGGATATGCTGATCCTGGCTCTGGGAACAGGGCTCTGGTGTTGATATTCAGCTTCCCAGCAGAGCAGGACACACCAGGCCTCTCCCAGAGCCAGGTGGGGGCAGATGCCAGACCCACCTTGGGCAGGTCACAATGCAGGACCCACTCAGGCTCCCCTGAGTCCTGGGCAGCACCTGGAAAAATGGCTGCTGTGTTTTTCTCTACTGATAAATGCCATCAAGGAGCAGCCTGTGCTCTTCTCCAAGAGCCTCACCCCAGTGTGGCTCCCACTGAGGAACAGGGAAGTGACCCCATGGTTTATTAAACCCAGCATCCTGCTCACAGCAGCACCAGCCCCGTGTGACAGCTCTGCACCCACAGCAACCTGGACCAAGCCCTTCACAAACTTCTTCTTGATCCTAGAGAAGTGTGCAAGCAGCACATCCCCTGCAGGCAGAGCCAGCTCATCTTGGGATCTTTTGGGTTGCTGTGACCCCGAGATTGTTCAAAGTCTCTTTTCCCAGCCCAGGTGCTTGAAGAAGCACTCAGGGCTCTTCATTTCTCAGTCTCAAGGTTGTTCATTGTTCCTTATCTATAAAATTCTTTCTCCTGCCCTGCCAGGTCCATCCAGCAGGACAGTTCCAGGCACTCTGCCTGCCCCCAGGGCAGGGTTCTGTCTTTATACTAAAAACTACCTGTACAATGGTTACAATTCCTTCCCAATACCCATCACCTGTGTTAGACACTGAGCTTCTACTCTAAACCAATCTGTGAGTGCCACCATCACAGCAGAAGATGGAGGCCAAGAAGAAGAAGGAGAAAGGATGGACACACCCAGATCCCTCCATCTTGCCTCCTGAACCCCCATTGTAAAAACCCCAAAATCGACTTTTCCACCCCATGATAACTTCACTATTATTCTACCTAAACTGTTGTGGTTTGCTGATCCTCATCTAAGGTTGGTAATTTGCTCCACGGGTCATAATCAAACCCACAGGTGTTCTGGGCTCTGTGCCAGGGTCTCTGAGCCCCTGGCAGGGTCCTGGGTGTCCTGGACAGCCAGAGGGATGTGCTGGGTTCCCACAAGCTCCAACCTCCCTGGGCTCAGGTTCCAGAAGGAGTTTGGTTTGTGTTCAGTTCCCTGTGAGCAGGTCAGAGCTCCCAGCACAGCCCTGCCCTCACACAGACCCCCCTGCATTGCCCAGTGCACCATTTCCTTTGCCTGAGTGTTGGCTTTGCCTTTTCCAGGAAGGTGATTTTGGAGGGATTTTTGTGTCCAAGGTGGTGTCCTGGTGCAATGCAAACCATGGCAGCAGCATTTGCTGCCTTTAATCCTTTCCATCCTTCCTTGGGGGCTGCCTGTGTTATCCATCTGCATTTAATCCAGGCTTTGGCTTTCAGGGCTGACTAAAACCTTTCACTCTTGCTGCCCTGGCTCTAAGGATGGGCAAAGGAAGAGGCTGCTCCAGCAGAGCTTTGCCTAAGTCCTGCTGAAAATCAACTTGCCTGAGGAGCTCTGCCTGGCCCTGGGACACAGGGACTTAACATCCTCAGAAAGTCACATCTGCCAAATCTCCCTGACTTTTGCCCTGATTTTTACATGCTCTCCACTGCAAGAAAGCAGTAGAAGTGAAAGATCAGAAAAGCACACCAGAGTATGGAAGAAAAATGAAGTGGGAGAGGAGAAAAGAAGAGGCAGGAGAGTGGGTTAATAAAATGCATTTAAGACAGAGAAAACTTTCATCCCTCTAATTCACCTGGGCTCTGTGGGGCCTGTAGGACAGACATGGGTGCAGACACCAGCACTGTTCCTGCTCAGAGGGGAAGGCAGGACAGAAGGAGGAATGAGACAGCAGCAGGCTCTGCTTCACAGGCTGGAATATATTCTGCCTGTGTTGTGATCACTGCTCCAGCCCTGCCAGGATGAAAATGAGACACAATCCAGCCATGGCAAAGGAGGCTTCTCCCACTGGACTGGAGAGTGGAACAGAGGATTGGCAGGTAAGATTTCTGAGAGAGATGGGACTTCAAAATCCTTGCTAAAAAGTTTTTAAAATCAATTTGCTTGTAAGACAAAACAAACAGGGGGGTGCCCCTGGCTTGCCTCAGACCAAAGCTATGGAAAGCTGGATTTAACACAGGATTCCTTTTCATGGAGCCTCTCTGTGCAAAGACCCAGCCCAGACAGACACTGCACCTCAGAGCAGCACCAGCCAACAAAGCAATTCCTCTTTGCCCAGAACGTGCTGGAAGGACCAGACTGCAGGCTACAATGTGCAGTTAAAAACCCTGGGATCATCAATTTTCTCAGGCCAAATCCTGTAAACAAAGCTGAGGATGTGTAAACACTGCAGGTTTGAGTGTCACTGGGATGAGGCTGAGCTCAGCTCTGGGGAAAAGGCTCCTGCAGTGCTTCCATGAGACTGAACAGCATCTGAACATGCACAGGTTTAAATCCCACTTAGAGAATTTGATTCTATACATTGTATTTCTTGTGAAGGCAAGATATGGACAGGGGGAAAGCAGTGCCCATCTCTGCTACTCTGCTGGAAATCCCAAAGAGAATATGCCAAAAACTGAGCATCAGCTGTGACTCTGCCATGTACAGGGACATGTGCACATTATTAAACAGGGGATTTGTGCTCAGATTTAATACATGCTAGCTCCCAGTATTCCAAGCACATCTGACTTTGTTGGGAGGTTTTCCAAATGGAAACTTGATCCTTTCATTTAAATTGTGCAGGATATTAACAAATACATTCTTAATTATGAAGACTTAATGTTCAACATTCCCAAGCATCACAGAATTTTCTCTAAGGTAAATTCATGACTCCCACCAGAACCTATTGCAAGGAGCTGAAAAAACCTGTACCTATGTATAATTACAAATGGGTGTAAAATCAAGAGTTACTGTATTATTTTCTTGCCTATTAGGTGTTGATGTTCTTTGTTTTATACGCACAGTTCTTGATACAAAGCCTGTAATGAAAATATTTTTCAAAAATAGAAAAAAATGTACAAATATTGCAGCTGTGCCACCAAATACATTGAGCAGAGCACAGGGAGGCAGAAGTAAGGGATCACCTGAGCAAACTGCAGACAGGCTGCCTGTGCTGCTCTGTGGGACCCTCTGCAAGCAACTCTGCTCTTCCAACCATCACCCATCTCCCTTAAGTCTCTGCATTTGCCTCACTGTACTTCCAGCTTTTGACTTAACATTGTTTTGCCAAAAAAATCCTTGGAGGGGGAAGAGCAGTGCCTGGTGCTGACCAGAGTTCATCAGAGCCAATGCTAATTAGCTGCTGGTTTCATCAGCCTTTGGTCTCAGAAATGCATCATTTTCCAGAAAGTGTTTGAAAACACTTTCTATTAATTACATAGTAAAATGATGTAATTTAGTAAAATGATGTAATTTAACAGGATTACTTATACTGTAGACTCTTTGACAGAAATTTTTTCCACAACATGAACTTGCAAAGAGACCCTTTGATTCTGTCTGAATTTTGACTGAATTCAAAACACATTCAAATAATAACAGTAATTAGTGTTCAGCTTTTACTACACATGTATCCCAGGAGTCACAGCCCTGGATAAAAGAGCTGAGTGCTCAACCATGTGGGCACCCAGAGCTCTGCCAGGCAGGGCTGAACTGTGACCCTTCATGGTTCCAGCTCCTCTCACTGCTGGTGGGATCTAAAGGCTCCCATGGACAGCCTGGCTGGGACAGAAATGCTCCTGCCAGCCCCTGTGTGCCATGGCAGGGACACAGGGACACAAATGCTCCTCCCCAGCCGAGCTGAGCTGCTCCCTCTCCTCCCAGCACAGCAATGGGGACCCCTCCCTGTCCCAGTGCCAAACCCAGCCCAATCCCTGCCCAGTGTGACTCTGCTCAGGACTGTGCAGAAGTGCCCCCAGCCTGGTGAAGTTCACCCAAATGCAGCCCTGGGCAGTCTTGGCCAAAGCCCCCCGAGCCCAGGGGTCTGGGCTGGTTTCACAGGGGGCACAGGGGATGCTGCCCGTGCTGGGGGTCACTGGTACCTCCAGGGACCCTCCTGAGGGTGTCCCTTGGCAGCCTGGCAGCCACAGGGAGCCTGAGCCTGACCCGGAGCTCCAGGGTCCTCCCTCCCCTGCCCAGCCTGGCCCCAGAGCAGCTCCTCCCCGGGGCTTTGCCCACAGGGGGTTTCTCAAGGCATTTCCCACAGCCCAGCTGCACAGGATGCACAGGGTGGGAATTTGGGAAATGCTCCCCTCTAGGCTGATTTCCCTGCCCATAACAGGAGCATTTGCTGTTTGGGTATTCCAAAGGAGCACACAGGGAAAGCAGGGGCCCTGCCTTGCCCAAGTTAAGGGCAGCTGTTCCTGCCCAGAGCTCTGGCTCAGCACTGCTGATCCCTGAGAAATGGCACTGCCTGCCCACAGGCTGCTGCCTCGACACAGAGCACCTATTTATTCCTGCTGCCATCCACCTATCTGTCCAGTTATCTTCTTTTGTTTCATATGTTTAATTTTAAACCTAATGTCAAAACTCTGGGTGTAAAATGAAATACATTTTTGTTTAAAATACTCTGGGCAATTTTTATAGAACATCCTTTTGAAAAAAAAAAAAGTGCAGAGATCAATTTTTTTAAGTCCATCCCGCAGGCACCATCATTTAATTATGAGTGAGACATAAATTATGCATTTACACATTGTTGCATTTTCTATAAAATGGTGTGGAGATTTTTTTTGTAGTTTTTGGAACTCTCTCTTTCTTCCTAGAGGCACTTTGGAGGAAAAAAAAAAAACTGCCAAAGGCTATACATTGATGAAAAAAATTAGCATTTATCAGTATAACACCATTATGAGGCCAGCATGGCACTAACATACACAAAATCTAAATGTATTTTTCTGCTTAGACTTAGGAAAACCTGAAAGACTGTGATCTCACCAGGCAGAAAAATGTTTCCTTGCAGTATAAGCGCTGAAAGTAATTGGGCAGAAGCAACTAATTTGCATGGAATTGCAGAAGACGCAGTGCAAAAGCAGCCCGGACCCGAGGAGGCAGAGGAGGAGCCCTTCATTACCTGCACGGAGTTGAGCCGGCAGTATCCATTCAAGGGAAACCTGATAACGTGGGTGGGGTCCTGGTTCCAGCCCGCGTTCACCGAGTTGCACATGACATCCCCCGTCTCCGGGAAGATCTCTTCTATCAAAGCCTTCTCCCCACTCAATGCAATCCTCTCCCCCAGATCTGGAGTCACTCTTACAACCAAGCAGTCACAAGGCTGGAAATGTTTCCTTTGTTCTTTCTCTTGTTTCCATCGCTCAAGTTCCTTAATCATTGGCTGCAGCTGGTAATACTTTGCTTCTTCATATAAAAGATTAAAGTCCTGGGAAAAAAAAAAAAAAAAGAGAGAGGGAGAGAGAGAAACTAGAAATGCTTATAGTTCTCTTTTAAAAATGAGTATTGTTCCTGTTTGACCTACTTAGGCTTATGTGTTGTCAGCAAGAGAGCAAAGGCAACAGGTACCCACGTACTCACACCTCCACAGACACCACCCCGTGCTGGTGTCCATTGCTTGGGCTCACTGAGAGGTTCCCATGGCACTGAATTCTCCTTTCATTTATTATCCCACGAGCTCAGTGCCAGAAGGCTTCACTCTTGGGTTAAGAAATGAAAATAGCTGCTTGCAATAAGCAAAGCTCCCTGATGTAAGAGGAGATGTTCCAAGCCCTGCTCTTTGCTCACAGCCCAGATCTGATCTCGCAGCAGAGCTCAGGCTGTGCTGGGTGATGGAGATGTCAGTTCAGCTTCACTTCTCACCTGCCTTTGCTGAGGCTGGAATTCAGCTCCAGCAGCTGAGCTGCTGCCTGCCATTGATGACTATTCATGTATTTCATGTGCACTTTGGAGCCTGGCAAATCCCAGGGAGGAGGTGACCACGCTGCTGGCTGGGAGCTCAGCTGTGTGCTCCACGGGCTGAACAGAAACTGTTCTTCCCTGCCATTTGTCCATCACTTCACTTGGGCTTTGGGCAATTCCAATTCCCAATCTGATCCAATTCCCAGTTCAGTGATTGTTTCATCAGATTCTGACAGATTTTCCCACCTCAGCTGAAATATGGAGCCAAAGGTTGTGAGCCCCCAGGCCCAGCCAGACCAGGGGGAGAGGGACAGGCCCTGGGGACACTTTGCTCCCCCAGCCTCCCAGGCGAAGAGGAGCAGCTCAGGAGGAGCTCAGCTCCTCCCTGCAGACACCTGGCTGTGCTTTCCCTGCTCTGCACCCCTTTACACCCTCAAATGCTGCCCCACTGCTGCTCCTGTGGGCTGTGCTGGAAATCAACACCTGGGACAAAAGCCAGTTCTACACCAGTGAAATGAAAAATAAAATGAACTGAAAAGAAAAATCAAGACTGAAATGGCTGGAATCATTTGGTCTGGAAAGAATGATATGACAGGAAGCAGTCAGGAAATGGGCACCAAAAGCACATGAGAAGTAACGGGTGTGCTGTGCCCCAGGACTGGGGAGGAGGGGAATCAAAGGCCAATGAAGATGCAGCACAAAAAGGTGCAACTCTACACACTGGTTTGGAATTAACCTGTAAAATCTCCTGCTGCAGGGTAGTACTGAACCAAAGCAGTTATCTCTGCTCAAATTTGGCACCTCAGACCCACTGGTAGTGGAGGTGCTCCCTCACCCCAGGGCTGCTGCAGCCCGGAGACACATGAATATTCACAGTGACAGGGCAAGGTGATCGACTCACAAAAGGGACATCCAATCCTTTACATGGCTTTGATGTCTGCTGAGGTGGGGACACTGTGCACACAGCCAAGGCAGAAAAAAGGACTGGAGGATGAGAGGAGCAGAGAGGAAGAGGGATAAGAGGGAGTGGGAAGAAATGAGGGCAACAAACACTCTCACGGGACAGCTTGAAGATGGAAAACACAGAAGATTAAAGAAGAAATCATGCAGAGAGCATGCTGCAAACAAGCCAGAGCCAGTGCTGGGAACAGGCCAGGCAAAGAGCTGTGGAGGCTGCCTGCACTACCTGGGCTCAGGTAAGACAGCCCCAAAGCCCTGTCCTCACATTCTCACCCTGCCAAAAGCAGCACTCTCTGCTGAGCCATCTCTGCTTTTCTCTGTCCACCAGTGATGCTCTCTCAGTACTGAGCAGGGATCAGTTTAAACCTACAGGGATTAGTGGCCTAAATTAAAAAACAATAAATCTGCAATCTCTGTGCAGGACACTGAATCAGCCCAGTGTTAGCACCTGACTGTGTTCAGCACAGAGGTGTGTGCAGTGCTGCCAAATGCTCCCTTGGCATCTGCTGGTGCCAGGGATTGCTCTTCCAAGCAGGGAAACATGCAATGCTAAGGGAAAATGTAATGGTGTAGAGTGAACAGGAGCACCTAGCACTGTCTGAAGGCAATGGAAAGTCATCTGCTGCTTTCAGTAGGTCCTGAAAAACCAGTTTCAGAGTGTCTGGGTTCATGGACACTATAAAATAAGGTATTATTTGTAAAATCAATCAAGTGAATATGTGCTAAGGAAACTCAACAGTAAAACCTGGAAGAGATGGTACAGTGACAGAAAGAACAGCCCTTCATTGCTGAGAGCAGAGAGTGGCACAGGGCTCCTGAGGGTGCATGCAAAGCCCATCACAGTGCAGAGGCTCTGACTGCCTCCCCTGGCCTGGCAGAATCCTGAATCAAGGACTTCAATGGTCCTGCAGCCTCAGGCCAGAACAGCAATGCCATAAACCAAGCAAAACCCAGATCACAGCAGCCCTGCTCCTCCCACAGCCAGCTCAGCCCACCCCATCACTGCAGCTTTGCAGGGACTCTTGCTGGCTGTCATTTGCCCTAAAATGAACAGCAGAAATTGTACATCCTGATACCATTTTGTGAGAAGAAAACCTGCCTTCAAATGCAACAGCTCTTCCACTGCTGCTTCCAGAATGAGAGAGCCACAGTTCAGGGGCTGTGTGGAAATCAGGGCTGGGCTGGAGCATCATGGGCTGAGTTTGGGTTGGTCTCTAGAGTCAGGCTCCCCTGCCTGTGCCTGCTCCTCACTCGGGTTCAGCACAGATATGGGAAGGGCTGTGCACCTGCAGAAGGGCCTGCAGCAGCCCCTGGGGACTGAGGTGTGCTGGTGCCAGGAGCTGATGCCAGGGCACCACTGCCAGGCAGGGCCAGAAAGGGGAATTGGTTGTGCTGTAGCTCAGTAACAAATGGAGGGATAAAAGAATCTTCTGCAGCAAGAGAAATTCAGTGACAGTGCTGGGAAGGGACACCAGGGACACCTTGTGTGACCCCCCCTCCCCTGCTGCCCACAGCCACCAGCAGCAAACACTGCCCCTGCTCCTCTGATGGGACATTTGCCCTTCTGCAGGGAGGGACTGGGGCATTCTGAGGGAATCTGACAGTGTGTTTAGGGAGGGAGGGGGGTTTCACAGGGCCAGGAACAGGCCCTCCTGTGTGGCTCACAGAGTGAGTGGCTCACAGCATGGGGGTCAGCTTCTCTAGATCCTGTGCTTGGACAGGGTCATGGGCTCTGCACGCCAAGCCCAAAATCTTTTCCCTCAGGTTTTGCACATTGTTCAGAATTCTGTCTGTGACCAGCCTGGGAGAGCCCAGCTGTCTGCACTGGATGCTTGGGATGCCCAGGCAATACTGGCACAGGTGCTGCCACCCTTGCACCGCAGGTATCAAACCCTATCCTGAAGATTTACCTAAGTTTAATATGAAATGTGAAGCAGAAGAATGAAACCCACAAGAGCCCTCACCAGGGAGGTGCCACAGAGCTGCATGAAAACATTTCCCTGCTGTTGGTTTCAGTCACCAAAGGCAGTGGCAGACATGGCCCCATCGAGGAGGGGCAGGGAGCAGCCCCAAGGGCACAGGGGGTCACTGAAACCCAGCCCAGGGCACAGCCCTGGGTGCCACAGCAGCACAGGGACACCTCAGCCTCCCAGGGCAGGGCTGCTGGGAGCAGGCAGCACTCCACAGCACATTCTGTACAGTGCCCAGGATTCCTTGTCCTGCAAAGCATCTCCCATTCCTTACAGGCATCATTTCCCTGTGTTCCAGCTCCCTAACAGCAGCACCAGAGCCAAGCACTGTGACAGACAGTGCAGCTGCTTCTGTTCAGCCCAGGAACACATTTTCCTCTGGAGGTGATTCCCACCAGCAGTGCAGTCACAAGCAGGGTGCTCTTTGACAGACTGAAAGGGGACATGGACAGCACAGCATTTAATTTTTCTGTAAAGTACCACAAAAAGCCTTCACAGCCACCATGGAGCTCCTGTGGCTGCTGCAGGAGCTGGTGGGAAGTTGTGCCAGGCCATGGAGGAAGGGAGCAGGCAGGCAGGGTGCACACAGCCTTTGTCCAGCCACAGCTCCTGGCCTGCACGTAGATCCCATGGGATCTGACAGACCTCTCAAAGATGCAAAAAGCCTTTTGCCTTTCACAAAACAATTTTCTGCTTTATGTTCAGTAGAAAAGTATTTTCTGTGGTGGGTTTCAAGCGGGCTGGATTCTGGCAGTGACCTGGGACAGGGGTGGCATCCTCCTGGCTGTGCCCTCCAGGCCAGCAGTGCTGCTGCTCCATGCCAGGGCCAATGGCCCAGATGTGCCCCCAGCACAGGCTGAGCCCTTGTGTCCACAGACCTGCTGCTCTCTCAGTGCCAAACACACCCTTTGTTCTTGTACCTAATGCTGACTCCTGAGCAGGCTGAAATGGCTCTTTCTGTCCATTTTTCACTTGTTATTCTTTATTACATGAAACAACAAACTGTCATCCTAACTCAATGTTTCTCTTGTATTTTTAGTGCTGTGAAGATCTGACTCCTGGCTATGAGAGAAAGTTGCTCACTTCTCCACTGACAACTGCACTGTTTCCTGAGGTCAGTTTGAGAGACTTCAGATGCAAGCACACAAATTTGTAACTGTATTAATAAATTGGAGTGGTGGCCCTGTCATTCTGGTGCTACAGGTGATTTCTGTAATCCACATGAAACTCAGATGTCCTGTCCTGTGCCTTTGTGCTCCTCCCTCTTTGAGAGGGAGCTACAATACTCACATTGCCTGTGTGTGTTACAATATTCACATTGCCAGTTTCTGTGTGTTACAATATTCATATTACCTGTGTGTGTTACAATATTCACATTGCTTGTGTGTGTTACAATACTCACATTGCCTGTATGTGTTACAATATTCACATTGCCTGTTTCTGTGTGTTACAACACTGATATTGCCTGTGCCTGTTACAATATTCACATTGCCTGTGTATGTTACAATACTCACATTGCCTGTGTGTGTTACAATACTCACATTGCCTGTGCCTGTTGCAATACTCACATTACAATACTCACATTGCCTGTGCCTGTTACAATATTCACATTGCCTGTGTGTGTTACAATACTCACATTGCCTGTGCCTGTTACAATACTCACATTACAATATCCACATTGCCTGTGCCTGTTGCAATACTCCCATTGCCTGTGTGTGTTACAATACTCACATTGCCTGTGTTACAATATTCACATTGCCTCTGTGTGTGTGTTACAATACTCACATTGCCTGTGTGTGTGTGTTACAACACTCCCATTGCCTGTGTATGTTACAATACTCACATTACAATACTCCCATTGCCTCTGTGTGTGTGTGTGTTACAATACTCACATTGCCTGTGTTACAATACTCACATTGCCTGTGTGTGTGTTACAATACTCCCATTGCCTGTGCCTGTTACAATACTCCCATTACAATACTCCCATTGCCTCTGTGTGTGTGTGTTACAATACTCACATTGCCTGTGTTACAATACTCCCATTGCCTGTGTGTGTCTGATGCTCTCTGAGCAGGGAGTGAGTCCCAAACAAGGCTCACAGCAGCTCCTGGCTCTGTGTGCTCTTGGCCATGGGCAGTGACGGGGGCAGGTCCTGGGGAGCCCCTGTGATGTCGGGGGGCTCAGGGAGGGCAGATTGGGCAGCAGGGGAGGAGCAGCTGCTGGGGCAGGGCTGAGCTGGCCCAGGCTCTGCCCCAGGCTCAGGGGGGCTCACAGTGCCCATGCTCAGGACACTGAAGCAGAGCAGGCAGAGGAGCTGGCACCATCCCCAGCCAGGCTCCATCCCCAGCCTGGCTGCAGAGCAGAACAGCCACACTCTCACACTCAGCACACTTTATGTGGCTTAAAATCCCCCAAAGCCAGGAAAATCACAGCAACCATAGCAGTGCTACCTTCAGCAGGAAGACCTGGGAGACACTTTCAAGTTCTGTCTTAGTAGTAGTTGCAAGTGTAATTAATATTCACTGTAAACACACCATCAGACTTGATAATAAAGAATCACTAGCCTTGGAACACACACCCCACTTTCTCTGCATTTCAGTGTTAACTTTGTCTGAAAACAACACTGAAATAGCAAACACAATAATGCTGGTGTGGTACTAACATTCCAAACTTTCCAAAATAACCATCTGAGCAGCAATTCAAGTTGAAAAGCAACTTGGCTAAACCTTGAGGCTAATAAACTGCTTGATTAAATTAAGGGGTAAAAACTAATAAATATTCAAAACACTTGATAGTGCTTTGTTTGACATAAAGAACATTTAATGCAAGTCTCACTGGAAAAGCTGTCAGGTTTTATACCTTAAATAGAGTTTTGCATTTAGAAACACCAAGTGATTCCATTTGCTGCCTTTGATTATTGTCTTCTGTCACTTTAATCATGCTGGCAAAATTACACAATTTCTGTGAAGTTAAATCCGTTTACAGTGCAGTTTTAATACAGCTTTACAGAGCATTCTTCTATGCATTTTGATTTAGTTACTCCCCACCTAGCAATGCTTTGCTTTGTTCCTGAGCCCTCATTAGCCTGGGGTTTGCTCTAAGCTCTCCCCGGGAGGAGCTGAGGTGCAGCTCCCCTGTGCCCAGGGCTGGGGAGCAGGGGCTGGGCAGGCACAGCCCCCAGCCCTGCCAGGCTCCCTGCACACACAGACCTGGGCACCCTCTGCCCTGCAGGCTCCAGCCAATCCTGCTTCTCCTGGGACTGAGCCCCTCTGGAATCTGGGTGCTTGTGGAGGCCATGATCAGCTCAAACCACCTCTCTCTTCTCTCCCACCCTCTCTTCACAGAATCACAGAATCACTGGGTTGGGAGAGACCTTCAAGATCATCAAGTCCAGCCCAGCCCCAACAGCTCAACTGAACCCTGGCACCCAGTGCCACATCCAGGCTTTGTTAAACACACCCAGGCATGGGGACTCCCCCACCTCCCTGGGCAGCCATTCCAGAACTTTATCACCCTTTCTGGAAAAAACTTTTTCCTTGTATCCAACCTGGATTTCCCTTGGTGCAGCTTGAGGCTGTGTGCTCTGGTTGTGTCAGAGCCCAGCCCCAGCTGAGCACAGGCCCCTTTCAGGAGCTGTGCAGTGATGAGGTCACCCCTGAGCCTCCTTTTCTCCAGGCTGAGCACCCCCAGCTCCCTCAGGGCTTCCTCACAGGGTTTGTGTTCCCAGCCCCTCTCCAGCCCCGTTGCCTCCTCTGGATGTGTTCAAACATCCCAACATCCTTCCCAAACTGGGGGCCAGACTGGACACAGCACTCCAGGTGTGGCCTCTGCTCACACTGGACTGTCCAAAACACAGCTGCTCTCTGTGCCTCTCCCACCTCTCCATCCACCCCTTCCCTTCATCCATCTACAGCCCCAGGACTGCTCTGGTCTTTAGCTCCACCACTACACACAGGTTTGAGGCTTTCCCTCATTTCTCTGCAGAGTTTTCTCCCCCCCAGCCCATCCAGGAGCACCCAGTGCTCAGGGCAGCCCTTCTGTGCTGGAGCTCCAGCCAGGACTGGCAGGACCTGCCCCTGCAGGTTGTGATGTGTTGCAGATGTGATGCAGACCCTCCCTTGGTGGGTCAGACATGATTGTCCCCCTACCTCAGGAGGTGAGAATGGCTGAGCTGGCAGCACCAGGACCAGCTCTGCTCAAAGCAGGACCAGCACCAGCACTCTGGACTCACTCAGCCACAGCTCACCAAGGGATCCTGTGCCCAGCCAGTACAACAAAGGGAAATGGCATTTCAGAGAAAAGCAGGAGTTTTCCTTCCCAGCAATGCTCTGCATCCTCTAACTGAGCAGATCTCCATCTGCCATCCCAATTTATTAATCATTTCATCCTGGAATAAGTGCTTCTGTTGAATCTTGTCATCTACAGTTTGGACACTTTTGTCTTCTAATTTTCATACATCAGGGTGACAATGTTGGAAGTTTCCTAAGTGCAAAGCCAAACAAACCAGGCTAAAAGGAGAGTATTTAAACAATCAGGGCCTGCAGAGAAATGCAGCACCATGGCTTCACACAAAACATGTCCTGCTCCTTAAAAAGCCCTCAGTCAATTGCAGCTCCCAAGAATATTTTGACATTAACTGTGAGCTGATTACTTCCTGAAATCAAACCATCTGCAGTGGTTATGTCTAACACAAATCCTCATGGGCTTGTTTAAGGGTTTCTTTTTTTATACTCACAAGAAAAAGATTTACACAGTTCAAGTCCTCTACATATCAAATTTGAAACATTTCTTTCAGATCCTGAGCATTAAACCCTGCTAAGTGCAAGTTGCTGATGTTGGTTCTTAATTGTTGTTATACCCTGATAAATAAGCTAAAAATGTGAGAAAATACAATTAGTTTAGAAAAACTGATTTAGCTATAAGCTTCATCGTTTAACTTTTCTTGGTATCCATGACAACCACTGGTCCATTTATTAAATAATAGCATCCCTGGTGTAATACACAAGTACTAAAAATCCTAACAAATAAACAGCAACATTTAGTTAAGTGTGTTTAGGTCAAGCACACAAACCAACCTGCCCCAAAACAAATGACAGAACAGGAGGAAAAAAGATTGCAGACTCTGGCTTTCCTTACCTTAAAGTCATCTGGGAGCAGTAGCTTAGATGTCCTTAGGAAGCTTAATATATATCTGAAAATCTCCCCATCTCGATCAATGAAATAATGCTGCTTTAAACTGTCCAAGACAATGGGCTCTGTGCCATTAAACAGACGACTTATTCTGAAAAAAAAGAGAAGAGAAAAAGAAATGGGCAAAAGAGACAAAATCTCATCACACCCTTGGGGCTTCAGAACAACCAATTTAGGTGCATCAATTCAAGGTGCATAAGGTAATGCAGGGTGTTAATGTGGTGACAAACACGTGCAGGAGGGCAGGAGCCCTGGCTGGGGGCACTGAGAGCCCCACGGCTGCCCTGGAACCAGGATCTGCTGCCCACCAGGCACAGCCATGGCCCCACCTGGAGAGCTCCTGGAATGCTCACCCCAGGGATGCTGGGGAGAATCACCCACAGCTGGAATGCTCACCCCACAGGGATGCTGGGAGAATCACCCACAGCTGGAATGCTCACCCCAGGGATGCTGGGGAGGTCACCCACAGCTGGAATGCTCACCCCAGGGATGCTGGGAGAATCCCCCACAGCTGGAATGCTCATCCCAGGGATCCTGGGAGAATCCCCCACAGCTGGAATGCTCATCCCAGGGATGCTGGGAGAATCCCCCACAGCTGGAATGCTCACCCCAGGGATGCTGGGAGAATCCCCCACAGCTGGAATGCTCACCCCAGGGATCCTGGGGAGGTCACCCCACAGCTGGAATGCTCACCCCAGGGATCCTGGGAGAATCCCCCACAGCTGGAATGCTCACCCCAAAGGGATCCTGGGAGAATTCCCCACAGCTGGAATGCTCACCCCAGGGATCCTGGGGAGGTCACCCCACAGCTGGAATGCTCACCCCAGGGATGCTGGGGAGGTCACCCACAGCTGGAATGCTCACCCCAGGGATGCTGGGAGAATCCCCCACAGCTGGAATGCTCACCCCACAGAGGCAGAGGGATCCTGGGGAGAACACGAGTCCCTGCCTGTGACATGTCCCTGTCCTCCATGTCCTGCTACCAAGTGGCTGCTCCAGGGATGGGTTCCTGGCCATGAGCTTGCCCCCAGCCTGGCTGGAATTTGATCAAACACCATCCAAGCCCTTCTGTGCTGGAGGAGAGGCTGCCCAGGCACTGGGATGGGCTGTATGGACCTGTGAGTGTCCATCCAATACAGAAAACCAGAAACCCATGTAGCCCCACAGCATCACCAGCAGCAGTCCTGGGGGTGAGCCTGGCAGGGGGACAGCACCATGGCAAATCTTTTGTGAGGGAAAAAAATGGGAGCGAGAGCTGTGAGACCAGGGGATCAGCTGATTATGGGACCAAAGGACCACATCAGCCACAGCACTCCAGGTTTTTCCAGAGCTTGCTCCACGGAGAGCAAACCAGGCATCTGCTCCTCCAGCCTCTCCCCTTCAATGCCTGCCTCCTCTCACAAGGCTTTGTCTTCCCATGAGAAATAACCCAGCTGAATATATGTTCTTGAAAGGGAAAACGCAGGAGACAGACAGCAACGACCTATTAAGTAATTGAGTCCATCTCTCTGACAGTGCAGCATTGTTCCCAACTGCACAGTGGCTCATCTTTCAAAGTCCAGCCTTAAATAATCCTGCCATGAGGACTCCTCCATTTCCCAGAGAGCCCATCCCACAGCTGGCTGCATTTCACTATCAGCCAGCCCTTCCAGTCGCCCAGGAAATCCCCTGGGAGCTGAGGGCAGGGCAGGGCCCTCCCTTTCCCTGCAAAACAGCCCCATCAAACCCTGCTGCAGGCCATGCCCAGCACGGCTGCAGCCCAGCCTGGCTGCCTCCCAGCACCAGCACCACCCCAAGCTCCCAGGGGCTGGGGAGGGGCAGGTTTGCTGCCCCACGGCTGCTCCTGCTGTGCCCTGGGCCCTGGCCCACAGCTGCACCTTGCTCTGACCTTCTAACTTGCTGATAGGGTTGTACATTTATTAATGCACCATTTGTACCTAAATAAAATGTGGAAATGTTAAATAAATCTGGATTTGGTAAGTCTCCACTGAATTTTGCTAAAAAACCTTTCTGCCCCCCTTAATTAAGGAAGCTGCAGGTTTTGCTGCCTGCTCTCATGGCCATGCCAGCATACAGCTAGTCTGAATTACTTGGGAGAATAACCAAGTGCTCTCCTAAACTCCAATTATAACATTTACTGTTTTCTCCAACCCCCAGTGTTCCTACACTATCAGAGAATCCCATCCAGTTCACCTGGCAACATTTCATTCATATAATCACGAGGTTCAGTAAGACTCCTGCAATTCAATGTGTTCTTTTTTGTTGTTATTTTAGGGCCATTTGCCCAAGACAGTTAAATATACTGCTCTGTACAGCCCTATACTTTACTCCAGGAACCAGACAGTTAATTTATTTCCTTTGACAGTGTGCTGTGCTGGGATACACTGAAAGCAGAGGAAGCACTGATAGCTTAAGGTTCAGTACATACATTTACTGAGTAAATTTGTGTGGCTATTGGAAGTTTTGAGATCTTACATATGAACAAGCTGAGCTGTGGCTGAAGCCTCCTCCCCTTTGCTGCCCTTTCTCTGGAGTCTGCAGAAGCAAAGCTGCTCTGCACAGGCACAGGGGAAGGCTTGCCAACAACTACAGGGTGCACAGAAGACAGGGTACAACATTTTAATGGGCCACTCTTTAATGTAGTAAAGCATTTTTTTGGTAATGAAAACAAAACATGAATTTTGAGGCTTCACTTTGTGGAGTGCCCTGAGCTGTATTTCTTCACCAGCAAAATTACTGCTGGGGAAAGAAACTCACAGAGTGTTGAAAGACTTAACTGCCACCCCAAAAACAGAGTGATGAATAGTTTAAGGATTTATTTGACATTTTAGGGGGCTGCTACGTTCCAAGAACCAACACCAGTGCAGCGTGTTGTAATGCTGCATGTGGAAAGAGCTCCCTCTCCTCCCATCTCACCAGCTCAAACCATACCTGGAAAAGTCCTTTGGAAAATGCAGTGCTGAGAGAGCACAAAATGAACTCCAATGGACAGTTCCTGACAGGATTCCTGTCCTTGTGTGAGGCTGTGGGAAGGAGCACAGTGACCAGGAGCAGCTCCATGCTCTGCACAGGGACACAGAGCTCCCTGTGGATGGGTCTGTGGTGGCCAGAACAAAATGCACTCAGGCTGTCAGAGCTGGCAGGTCAGCAAGAGCAGGGGGACAGGAAGGGTTTGCACTGTCCAGAGGTGCTGATGATCAATCAGAAATAAGGCACCAGCCTGGCTGGCAGCCTCAGGAAGCTGCTCCCTCCAGGGAGCTGTGAGTTTAAAGTCATGAGGAGCTGCTGCAGCTCAGACTGGGCACTAGGCACCCTGAAAATGTTTTTATGGGTGGTCATGGCAACCAGCACTGTACTGGTGGAGCAGGAGGCACTTTCAGGAGGCCCTTGTGTATGGCACACAGGAATGGTGCTGGCTGTGCTGCCTGTGAGGAGGCAGGAGGCCAGGGAAAGGGAGACGGGGCAAGAGGAGCTGCACTGGGATCTGCAGCAAGGGCGAGTCTGAACAATGAACACTCCTTCAGCACCCCCACCTTTAGCAAGAGATGCTTCACTTTCTAATTTAGAAGCACTTGTATAATCTGTGTCCAACATGAAATTTCCATACAGGGAGCAGACTGAGGCAGGACCAGCTACAGCAGATGCCAGCCTAAGGATGCCAAGTGTCTCCTTCCACGGCCTCCCCTGCCCTGGCCGTGCTCACACCCTCTGCCCAGAGCTCAGCTCCTCCCAGCCCCCTCTTCTTCCTCCTGGCTTGCTCCTGCCCTCCCAGCAAGGTGCTTTTCCCAGCTCCTGCTCCCTGCTCTGCAGTGCTGCCCACCCCAGCCCCTGGCCACTGCTGCCACAGAGCCACCACCATGGGGCTGCTGCCCAGCTGCCACCTCCACCCTGCCTGGGTGCACTTCTCTGCCTCTCCCAGGAGCCAGGACAGAACCTGTTGATCCCATCCCTACTGTTTCTTTGTGCTTTTGTTGTTTCTGCTAAAGGCTTTCACATTTTCAATAATGTTTCGCCAAAACGCCGAGGGGCGAGTTTCTAGCTTTGCACCAATTTTACCATGATATTAAGATCTTCTTTTATTAGATTAAAAACAAACAACAAAGACAGCCAACCCACAAGGACAAGAGTGCCAGTAAATTCTTTTCTTTAGTTTCTTGGGCAAGGAAAGAGGCCCTGTGCTGCCTGCAGGTAGCTGCAGAAGGCTCCTGCCCCCCCTGCATCCTGGGGACCGATTTTCCAGCCTGTGCAGGCAGGAGCACAAAGGGCCCTGCAGGGCACTCAGTGCAGCCCCCAGAGCAGAGCTCCTTCAGCAACTCCCCCAGCTCCATTTCAGAAGCAGACAGGGCTTTTTGGCACCCCCAGCTCCCTCCAGAGCACCTCTGGTCATCCCAAAGACCATCACCGAGCACACCTGTGGGTCTGCACATCACACACAGCTGCTGGGGACTGTCATGGCACTTTGGGACAGAAAAGCTTTTGGGGTGGGGCAGTTTGCTCTCTGGTTTGGGCTAGTTTAGCTGTTTTCTTGACAGCTTTATTTTGAGCAGAAAATACAAGTTCTTTCCTAATAAATCTGGTTCCAGAGGTCTTAAGAAGAGCACCCATTATTGTGGGACCTGTGAGACAATCAGCAAGTGGGGCTGTGGCACCATGAGGCCCTAAGGCCCCCAGGTCCCTCTGCTGTGGGGGCCACTGTGTCCTGTGGTCCCTGTGCACTGCTCTGGCCAGCACAGTGACACTGCCTAAGCAGAACTCTCTATCACAATATTGCACTAAAAGTATTAATTTAAGTAATTACATGATTAATATTTAACTGTTCAGTGATATTCTTGTCATTCATAATTTAGTTGTTTACATTTATTAAAAATTGATTTTGTAGACACTTTTTCTGCCCAATGTCAAATCAGCAGGGAACACACATTTCAGCAAACTGTCATTAAAATGTGTCTCTTTCCTCATTCTGTGGGAGGACAGGGGAAGAAGAGAGAAATGCCTGTCTGTGGGTCCTGCAAAGGTGGTGGGTCTGTCCTGCACCCAGTGTCCTCCCTGCTGGACCTGCCCTGTGTGTGCCCTCCTGCCCCCAGAGCAAAC